TCTGCGGCCATGGCGGCCCCCAGCAGCAGCGGGCACAGGCCGAAGAAGACCATGACGACGCCCATAAAGCGGCAGAGGCGACAGCTGGGGTCCACGGCGTGCCAGTCGAAGAGGATGGCGTGCTGCGACACCACGATGGCGCCGGTGATCAGCAGCCCCATGAAGTCGGTGAGGACCAGGCCACAGAGGAAGGTGAGGAAGGAGGACCGCCCCTGTGCGCTGCCCGGCCGGGCCCCTGCCAGCACCCTCAGGGCCAGCAGGTTGGAGGCCAGGCCCACGAGGCAGAAGGAGGCAGCAAACCAGGGGGAGGCGATCAGGCGCCGCTCCTCTAGCGTGATGTTCATTGGCCGGAAACAGGGGCCCAGAGAACTGTCATTGGTCCACATGGCGGAGGGGCAGTCGGGAGCGTCACCGTCCCATTGGGCTGAGGCTGTGGGTGCGGCTGACACTGGCCCTGGCACACCTGGTGGGGGCAGAGAGATGATTTGCTGGTGATTCATTCTGCATTTAATCAGAGTGGCCCTGGTGAACTCCTATACAACCTTCAATGCCCCAACTCAAGTAACCCCTCCTTAAAGATGCCTTTCCTGACTACCTCACTCGGCACTCATAGGCTTTCCTATTACTAGCTCTGTCCTGCCCTAGAATCAGCGACCTGCGAGGTCAGGACCTGGGCTGTCTCCGTTGGGGGACACCAGTTAGTATCTGTTGGGTTGAAGAGAAGGGCCAAGAAGCCCCAGGTTTGAACTCCAGCCCTGGCACCTGTTGCCTGACCCCAAGCAGGGGCTTTCTTCTCCACGAGCTTGTTTCCCTGCTGGTCTCCCATCCAAGCCCTTGGTGGACTGCAGCTTCCAGGACAGGTCTCAGCCACAGTAAGACAGGACGCATCCAGCGTGGAGAGGGAGGCTGGTGGTCGGCCAGAGCTCACTGGCTTTTGTATCAGCCCTGAGGTCAGCCTCGTGGGTCATAATTTCTCACGAGTGCACGAGGGTGAGGCCCCAGCCCACTGGTATTTTAGGGAGACCCTTCCTCTCACAGGTTGGAAGTGTGTGGATTATTATTTTTCATTACTTATTTTTTTGAAATCATGTGGATTCTCTCCCCCCCACCCCCCACCCCCTCACCCCATTTCTTGGCATCGCTTTTATGATAAGTTATACACCCCAAAATCCAGTTTCATTCTGGGAACAAAAAAAAACCCAGAACATCTGGGGCCACAGGTCCCCAGGGATGGGCTATAAAAGGCAGCAGGAGGGACCTGCTGACAGGCGAGGGGCTGGGGGAGAAGCCAGGGGAACATCTGGGCTGGCTGACGCCCAGTGTGAATAAGCCAGCCGATGAGGGGACGGCAGGTCGCAGTAAAATGAGAACATTCAGGGGCCTCTGCCCCCCTCCCCACGTGAGAGTCTGTACTTGTTCTTCAATAAATCTCCACCTTTGCTATACAAAGAGAGAGAGAGAGAGAGAGAGAGAGAGAGAGAGAGAGAGAGAGAGAGAACATTCAGAAAACAGCTCCCAGTTCCCAAAAGGACGCATCAGGGAAGATATAAAGCCACATCCAGGCCCCCAGCTTCTGCCCCAGGTTCATGCCACAGTCATCCTCGTGTTGGCAGTGAGGCACCTGGTGGAGAGAGCGGGTGGGCCGCGGTGGGGAGGTGGGACCGTGGGAGGAACAGGGAAGGAGGATCCAGGCCGTTAAAGCTCTTAAAAGTCCTTTGCTCTTTGCAGAAGGGGCAGCAGGCCTGGAGAGGGTAACGGCCTGTTCAAGGTCACACCGCCCAGCCTGAGCTGAGCTGGGTGTAAACTCCGGCCTCACTACCGATGTGTGTTCGTGATTCAAAATCCTGCCCATTCGATGGAGCTGGTGCCAGGTGGGTGTGGGGGTCACATTATTATAATTTTCTCTAAGGAAGGATACAATTTTCTAAAAAGTTGGTCAGACCGGATTCAAACCCTGCCTTTGTTACATACCCTCTCGCCGACCTTGGGCTCCCTGTGTCCTCACTCTGAGCCTCAGTTTCCCTTCCTGTAAAATGGGGCTCTTGGTGGGAATGAGTTCATCTGGGTACAGGGCTTAGCACACTGTAGGTGCTCAATCCCTGTGAATGTGCCCAGCAGGTGGCCACCAGCCTCACTTCCCATCTCCATAGTGGGGCCTTGGCCCAGCCCCTCAGACTCCACGCTCCTTATCTCGTCTCATAAATTATCCAGCTCCTGACAGCTGCCCTGAGCTTCCCTCCCAGGCTGAGCGCCAAGGCCACCACCACTTTGGTGCTGGCGGGGCCTCAAGTGGGGAAACTAAGGCCGGGGGGGCGGGGTGGGTGGAGGGCGTGCCTCCCATGGTGACCGGGGGGCCTTAGTCCTCCAGCCCGGGCCAGGGGTGTGCACTTCGCCATCGCAGATTTCACTGGAACTTGAATTCCTCCTGGGACAAAGCTCTCCCTCCTCCCTCGAGAGCTGGTATGTGCCATTTCTGAACATTCCTGGGGACTTGGGCTGCGCCTGCGGCCACTGCCCTGGCCTCTGCCTGGAATGACTGTCAGCCCCTCTTGGGTCTCATGGTCCCTTGTCCCCACTTTCCTGTGGGCGTTCCTGCACCACTCACTCACCCGGGATGCACACCCTGAGACATCCTCATATCTCCCACGTCTGGGAACAAACCCGTGACCCAGAGCCCATGGCCTAGGGGAGACTGGAAACTGGCATGACTCCCTTTGGCCACAGCCTGTGGTTTCCAGTCCCCCCTCACATGGGTTCAGGTGATAGCTACCGGTCTCAAGTTTCCCAGGCGAGCAGGCCAGTAGAGGCACCTGGCAAGGCCTCCCTTCCCTCCCACATTGGCCAGGAGAGCTGGCAGGGCCCCTAACCTATAGGGGACCATGCCCATCCCAGCCCAGGCCCAGAGCAGCACTGTGTGGGGTCCTTGGGGGAACCCATCTCCCTCTCTGTGTCTCACGGGAGGCATGGACTTCAGATGCCCATCCCAGATTTGCGGGACAAGCCCAGGATTCCATGGCCCGACGGCGGGCAGGTTTAGGCTGTGAAGGGCCAGGGTTCTGGAATTTGAATGAGCTCCCAGTTCTGGAACCTGGAAGGCCTCCAGAGTCTAGAATTCTAAGGGCTGAGGCTCCAGAACTCTGACAGGAGTCTGGCTGGGTCCTGGGTTCCAGAAATCTGTCTCCACAATTGGCGCCTTACCGGAGGCTGGACTACGGGCAGGGCTCCCCCTCTGCCCAGTGGAATTTGATATTTTGGTTTCCAAGTCCAGGCCTGGCCATTGCTCACCCCACTCTCCTTCTCCCTCCTCCATCGAGCCGTCCATCTCTCAAAAAACCCCTCTTCCGCTCAACACCCCAAGCCCAGGCCTGTCCGGCCTGCCTGTCCCCGCAGCCTCGGCCCACCCAGCCTCCCCCAGGGATGATGCTGACCTCAGACAAGCTAAGGCTGAAGTCTCTGATCGGCCACTGCCAAGCTGGGGGCTCAATGCTGCTGAGCGTCGGTTTTCCCCTCTGTGAAATGGGAATAACAAGGACATCCGCTTGCCTGCTGGCATGGCGGCTGCTTTTCACAGGACTGCTTTGCTCCCTCCCAGGAGGCTTTGCTTCAGCTGTGTCCCCCGCCTGTGTGCCCTTCTGCACCTGGTCAGGAGATACGCTGTGTGTGTCAGAGCCTGTCTCCTGGCCAGGTGCACACGGGCAGCCAGGCAGGAGCCCTGATACTGTGTGTGACCTCGGCTGGCTCCCTCCTCGGCTGTTTCCCACGCTTCCTGTCCTCTAGCTGCTGAGGACAGATCAGGGAGGACGCCCTTTGGCATGGAAGTGCAGGGTCCCGGCCAGGCCCTGCACCAGTCAGTCCCAGCCCAGCCTGTGCACCCAATGTGCACAGGGAACCCCCTCCCACACCCTGCGCAGCCACAGACACCCATACGGACACACCCACAGAAAAGCAGTGCCACCATCAGTCCCCAGGCCCACCCCCACCTCCCCTCACCACAGGCTCAGTTTCCGGGAACTTTTCCTGTTTGTGACATTAACCAGGACCCCACCCCAGAGTGTGAGAGTGGGGACTCCACAGTCAACTTGACTAGGTGAGAGCCAAACAGCCTCGTTTTCTTTCTTTCTTTTTTCTTTTTTAAATATATTTTATCGATTTTTTACAGAGAGATAGAGAGTTAGAAACATCAATGAGAGAGAAACATCGATCAGCTGCCTCCTGCACACCCCCCGCTGGGGATGTGCCCGCAACCAAGGTACATGCCCTTGCCCGGAATCGAACCTGGGACCCTTCAGTTTGCAGGCCGACGCTCTATCCACTGAGCCAGACTGGTCAGGGCCAGCCTCATTTTCTTATCTGATGACCATGTGTCCTCAACGTGCTCACCATCAGGGCTGCCAGGAGGGCCAAAGAGAGGGCGGTGTGAGATGAGGGGAGGGGACCCAGGCCATCTGACCAGTGGCTAACGATGGACACAAGAGTTACCGTGGCCCAGCCGCTGTGGCTCCGTGGCTGAGCATGGACCTATGAGCCAGGAGGTCACGGTTTGATTCCCTGTCGGGGCACATGCCTGGGTTTCAGGCTCTATCTGCAGTGTGGGGCTTGCAGGAGGCAGCAGATCAATGAATCTCTCTCATCACTGATGTTTATATCTCTCTATCCCTCTCCATTCTTCTCTAAAATCAATAAAAAATATATTTTAAAAAAGGAGTTACCGTGATCCTCTGAACCCATCACGGCGTGCCCCCATACCAACACCGGCTCCCAGCCACACCCTCCCAGGGCACCTCAGGGTCCCGAGGCCCCACACAGACTGGAAACCACCACCAGCGCATCCTCCCCTGCACGTGGCCGCGCCCCGACGGGACCGGCAGCAGAAGCGCAGCCGCTGCGGGCACAGACCCGGT